AATCGGGATGGGTGTGTCAGAGGCAATGCGATTGGCACTGGATAGAGCAGGGTTTAGGGCTGTTGTACATAGGGTCGCTATGAGTCACAAATGACTCGATGGCACACAACAACAACATATTAGAGAAACTTTATTTTGTGTGTAGATTTATTTTAACACTGCTTAATCACCACACACACACACACACACACACACATTATTTTTAATTGTTTTCTCCTCTTTTTCAATATAAGGGATTATTGTCGTCAGGATGAGAAGTGCAGTTACTACTTCAGTGTGGATGCAGATGTTGTTTTGACAAATCCAAGGACTTTGAAAATTTTGATTGAACAAAATAGGTAATATATACAGTTCAATAACAATCCATTTTGAAATGGTTAATTATTCTCTATGTCTGTATGTGTAGGGTAGTGCGTTTTTAATATCCTGGATTTTTACCTGTTGTCATATACTTTTGAGTCAGGCTCAAACCACAGCTGACCCTCTGGCAGGTTTTCGGAGGCAGTTAATTGTTTCGGAGGAGACTGCCCTTCCTTCTCTTGAGGAGCAGCTCCTGGATTTGAACCGCATGCCTTCGGGATTACACCCCAGCTTATGAAAATGAAAAATGATATAATTACATGATCTTATTTTTCTACTCTCTGTAGGAAAATCATTGCGCCTCTGGTAACTCGTCATGGAAAACTGTGGTCCAACTTCTGGGGAGCATTGAGTCCTGATGGATATTATGCTAGGTCTGAAGATTACGTTGACATTGTTCAAGGAAACAGAGTGTAAGTTACTCGATTTCATTTTTTAATATAAAATGCCAGCATCTAAAAAGGTAATCCCGCAAATGTGACTTTATTTTTTTGGGGGGGTCTCATTAAATTGTTAGAATTTAGACATTTGGTGCATTCATTAGAATATACTAGTATAAAACTAAAGTTGTTTTAAAATAATTTTTGAAGTTATTCATTATTAAGCTTAGAAAAAAATGACATACTTGAACACTTAAGTGGTATAAGGATGTTTGCTGATGAAAGTATAATTAGACACCATTAAGTAACTATGACTCCTAACATATTTATATATTATATATATGATGTTATATAAATATACATAGGATGTTATATAGATGTATATGATATTAGATAGATGTGTCAGGACTGGTTTTAATTGTTTTTGGTCAACCATTCTTCTATGTTGTATAGCACTGGTCTGTCCATTTACTGTACAGAGGAAACATGTGGTTGCTATGATGCTGAACACTGCGACACTGATGTGTCAAATGTGATAATGGTTACCCATGGTGGACAGTGTTTTGGTGGAGCTCCCCATTAAAATAAACTTGAAAGCAGGAGTGGCATCCACTTCTGAAATACCTTGCCTCTGGAAACTCTAAGAACTTGGAGAAACAATGAAAGTTATATAAGTGTTCAGGTCTTTGGTTCATAGGGTCGCTATGAGTTGTCTATGACTCGATGACACTTAACAGCAACAACAACATATGATACATATGTATATATGTATTTGTCAAAATTTGATCATATATATATATGATGTGTTATATATTTGTGGGTGTGATGATGTGTTACATATGTGTGAGTGTGGGTGTGTGTATCTGTCTGTCAAAATGGAATAATTTCATATTTGATCAGTGATTAGTTTCTGAATTCACAATGACGCAGTTTATATTTCTTTTCCGATTGTTTTCTTTGAGGATAGACTATTGGTTTTTTTATTATTATTATTATTAAATGTTATTAGTTTCAATGAACATTCACAGGGATTCTGGGCTTTC